CTTATTTCATTTGTAACACTATAAATACCCCCGCCATGTAACACAAGAAGGTTAATGAAACTCTAAATACTTGGAGCAATATTATTCTCTCTTTTATCAGCATATTTCTACTACAAATTTTGTTCTTTAACGATTGACTTCTTATACAATTGTGTTTTGTTTATCTTATCGGAGACCCGAACGGAGACGTCTCGTGTCGTTGAGCTCGTCCCACGTTCATATTTTGGAATCATCCTGACCGTTGATTGGCACTAACATGTTGGATTAAGCTTACGTGTACACAAGTGGGCCCGACATCTGTTGACAACATTTTTTGGGGTCAACAAATTGTATGACCGTAATTGTATCCAAAATTCAGAAACTTGCATAATATACAGAAGCATTCCTTAATTAATTTCAAAAATTAGCAATTTGCTTATTTTACGAATAGAAAACATTCCTCATTGATAGCATACCCAGAGATTTCATTTAACATGCCACCTCAAGCTGGGGAGGAACGTATTTGAACTCCCAGCTTGGTTCGAAAATGAATAAAAGCATCTTTTGATAATGGTTTAGTGAGAATATCTGTTGGTTGAGAGAATGAAGATATGTAGTGTGTTACAAGCACTTCATGGTTTTGTGGAAATTCACGATATGTTACGTGTGTTTAAGTTGGCCTTTTGAAGAAGCATTGCTGACTTCGAGGTGAGGAGGGTCACGGTGTGGTTGGAAGGAGTTTGACAAGTGGTTGGGTTGGGTTTATGGAGATGGAGGAGCTTGGATATTTGGCAGGGTTGGGTTTGTGGAGATGGAGGAGTAGTTTGGGTAAGGTGGCTGATGATTTTGGTTAATCAACTGTGGTCAAATATCCATTTTTGGTTGCGCGAATAAGTGTAGAATACCTATAATTACACATTTGAGGGAGATTGGAGGTTCTTCTTGTTGTTTTATTTGTGTCAGGAATACCTTGCTTTGCCTTTCCAAAAGAATACTGTATGACAATCATTACATTTGACGAAGTAAATAAACCATGAATTCAATATTTATTTAATTGAAAACAAATAGTCAATCTATTACAGCAAAATAATATTTTTTGGGTTATAAAGGAAAAGTACAAACATTTATTTCTTGGATACCATTTAAAAAATGTAAAAACAGATTTCAATGTTTAGATACACCATCTTTGGTGTTCACAGACCAATAGGCTCTAAAAGTAAGAACTTAACAAAGTTATCCACACCAGAGGAGTAGCTATCCTCTTCATGTTGATAAATGACTTGTGAAGTTCTTGACATATTAAAGCAGGCTCTAATGATGGGTAATGGCAAGCTAGAACTGAGTAGCTCCGTGTTAAGCTCTTTCCATAAGTTGCCAATGAGTTGCATTATGCTTTCCCTAGCTTCACCTTCTGATGGTAAATTTTTCTCTTTCATGAACAAAGGTATACTCGAAGCATTATCTCCTCGATCTTGCTCTTCCTGACAAATGAAATCATAAAGAAATTAATAATATGTTTTCACACATTAAGTCTTTCAAAACTTTAGTTGTTACTAAGAGACATCTCGGTATATATATTCAATTTAGCTGTTAATTTAGATTTAAATTTAGGTTTTTAAAAAAAGAATTTGTATTCATATTAATAAAAAAGTACAAAATACCTGGTTCATTGGTAAGACTAATGCATGTATAATTATGTAAAGAACATTGCAATTGATCAGCAATTAAAAGAAAACATTTGTCCGATTCATCGTTAAGACTATTGCATGTAATCAATTACCTTCGAAGTGCCCAAATCGTCCCAGAGTCGAAGAATCTGGCCTGAACATGAAAATATCTTCGGATATGGTGTCTCCATTGATTTTACATTTCCATGGCTAATACCTTCCCCTAACAAGAAGAAAATATGCACCAAGGCCATGTATGATCCTGATGTAGTTACTGCATTTTCTAGGTAATTTGCAAGATTGGGTACATGTCCACTGTTAAACCAGTTGGCTTCAAACATGAAAGCTTCAATGGTGTTCATCCACTGTGACAAATAAAATATGGAAAATTTCATTACTGTGATGTTAACCGAGACGATAGATGAATTCATTGTCTGGGAATTTCATAACAGAAAATCATAGGTAATATCTTAAAAGGATTAAAGTGTACCGTGCACAATTTTACACCATCGAAATTGATTGTAAATTTTTATTTGTATGGGAGAGTGTAGAAACATAAAATATTAGTAAATTTGAACAGAAATAATGTTAGGTCTTCTGATCAATGCAAATGTGAACTTTAATTTGGACGAGAGTGTTCAACGTTATAGTTAATTTTAACAACAAAACTATACTCTTTTTGTATGTAAATAGTTACTAAAAAAGGTAATTGTAGAATATATGAATCCTAAGAAAAATAACTATTAAAAATGAAAATAAGATGGACAACAATCGAAAGAAAAAAAATGTACTAAAATGTGTTACCACTCGTCTAAGGGAAGGAAGAACATTTCGTCCATGTTCTTTGAGAATCATGTAGGCAATCTCATTCGTAGTGTTGTACAGTGCCATATAACATATTTTCATGTATTCAGGAAGTTGTTCAATTGCGTCAAGATTCCATCTGCAAACCCAAAATATTACACCAGTAGACTAAATAAAATTTAAGAATCAAAACAAGTAAAATACCATGTTAAACATATCAAATGTCATGTTAATTCGTGATATTCTACTTTTATAAATGTTATATTTACATATCACTTGCTAAACTGAAAAGGCTAAAGAAATATATAAAGAGATATATGTACAAGAATTTGTTAGGTGTTTTGTTCAGTATCCTTGGCTTATGATAGGGTAAAGGGTACTTACTTTTGAATTGCATCATTGAAGAGGAGGAGTTCATTTATGGATCCGTAAGTGTCAAAAATGTCATCAATTACTAGTAAAATGGCAATGGTTTTTGCCAGATCAATACGCGCTCGTGAGTACTTGGGGTCTGGAAGGATTCCTACAGTCCAAAAATAGCATTCCATAGGGCGATCACGTCCGAACTTGAGTTTTTCCACAAGGCCTAACTGCTTCCACCATCTAAAAACAGGGGAAATCTTCATAAGAAATTAACTTATATTTAGAAGTAGATAACATTTATGAGTGAATCAAAAAAAAAAAAATTATTTGAAATTGAAATGAACAGTTGAAATCCCACTAAAAGTACATCTCAATTATATAGCATGCATATTTGGTACGTTAGATTACAGCAATGGACACTACAAGATGGGACATTTAACAATTCAATCTTACCTAGTAAAACATATAAACATGACTCAAGTGTTGTGTTACCTTGATAACTCAGCCAACTCTATTTGATGCAAGGATTGAACCTTGTTATAATCTAATTTTGCTTGCTCAAGAAGAATTTGACTGAAATTGCTTCCCATACCATATTCATCAATATAGAGTCTGGACTCTAGCCTTGCCATTCTTAGGTGTCTAGGGAGCTCAAGGGCTCGGGTCACCTGTCTACGATGCTGTTTTCCCATGCTTGGAATTGATAGTCTCAAGTGAGTTTCTGCAAATTTCATGGCCTCGGAAAGTATATCCTCTCCACTTGAACCTAAGGATGATGCTTCATATAAACTCAAAAGACCCCTTGTGTCTTGGCTCATGGACTCTTTGAATTTTCCATTCTTTTCCATGAATTTCATGAACACGTCTGCTCCAAGTTCAGAAGAAAAATAATAATTAACTGGATATTAGCCTATAAGAGAGATGTAACTTAGATAATAGTTGTCTCCTAACTTATAACATGAGTAAGACATCTGATTTTGTGATTAATTACGAGTTTTCGAGTCTAACCTTATTCTGCATGCAAAATTATTAGAGACTATTGAGTGGTGTAGATTATCTCATCTACACTTTATTATTTGAACTTACTAGTTTAAGCTTGTTACACAACGAATTTTTATTTTAAATGAAAAATAAAATAATATTATTTTGAGAATATATGGTTGTAAAGCGAGGAAAAAGTGCTACTTCTTTTTCACTAGCAAAGCACTTTCAAGTCTCCAAGTAAGCCCAATTGAAAGTTTAGGACTATCCCTACCATGTTTATAAATATAACAAGGATGGCAGGGTAATTATACATTGTTTGATATTTTTGTAAATGGAGACAATATGGATTTGATTTTTTTGAAAATAATGTTAATATATAAAATTATGTATAGCATTTTTGTAGAATGTATCCATTATCCGATTGACTAATTGTTAAGCAGTAAGCTGGATATTTTGTGGACATAATAATCTAATTTAAAGCACCATTTTCCTAATTCATCTGTCTATTTTTTGTTTTTGTTTTTTTTCATCTTTGAATTAATTTTGTCGAGTCTTTTTAAAATTAGACTTATTATATTTCGAAGATATTTTGAAATCATATTAAGGAAGAAAGAAAATAACGTACCACAGCTAACAGGCCACCCATCAGTCCTAAGCAGTCGAAATCGCAGTGCCGTGGCATGGAGATCGTCACCAGCATCCCAATTTATTAACTTGTTCAACCATAAATCAATCTCTTCTTCATAATTATATGCAATTCCTAGCCATTGAAGTGTATCTATCAACTCCATTGCTGCCATTGGGTCCAAAGCTCTTTGCAATGCATTTCGAGTATTTTCCTGGAGTTCTTCAATCCTTTTGCTGCAATTGGTCTTATCCATTGTGTTAAGTACGTAGCCTGCATATATTTTTAACATAGCACGATGGATGAAAAATTATTAGATACAAAGAAAAAAAAATCATAAGAATGGTGATGCATATTAAAAATTATAGGGGTTGTGCTCTAAAGGAAAACTTATAAGAAATTTTAGCACGTTAAATGAAAAAATATAACTATAAATAGCGCCCTAGATTAAAAAATATAAGAAATAGTGTTAAATGAAAAATTATCATATTTATGCTCCTAACTTCATGTTACATTCTTATAGTTAATTTTCAATTAATAAGCATATTAGTTTCTATCCAAAAAAATCCATTAAAGGGCATTAAAAAGTTTTATTTATCCATCATATTTTGAATAAGTGAAAAATAGCGAGTACACAAGTTCGACAAAGTAAATCATCATTATGGACAAAATGTGCTAATTAATTGAAGAAAAAAAGTAAGAATGTGAACAATGAATAAAGAATGAAGAAATCCGTTACAATTAAAAGATGATACACGAAACGAAAATTGTGATTTGAAAATAATTAGCCACATATTACTTAAAGAAAACATACTATGTTAATTTTAGAGAGTGCAAGTACCGAGAACGAAAAGATGAGAGGCGAAGTGTCGTATTGTCACCACTTTAATCTAACACAATATGCACTTTTAAGTTTTAATCAAGTGAGATGGTCACCACTTTATAAAGCCTCAAATTTACAAATAATGTTGACTTGACTTCCATTTTTCTTGGTTATACGACTTTAGAACATCATAAAGGACTGACTTTGTCAACTTTACACTAGGCGTGATGGATTGGCCAATCCTTTTCATGGAAAATGAAATCCCACTTTTAGCTTGTTTGATACTTTTTTTTTTTTTTTTCACGAAATTCCATTTCTTGCTTTTGTTTCATACGTGCCACATTAATTGGTTTGTGGAAAACCAATTTCCACCAAATTTTCCACTTTTAAATTGTTTGATACCTTTTTTTCCCATGAAATTCATTTTCTTGCTTTTGTCTCATACGTACCACATTCCTTGATTTTGTGGGGAAATTGGTTTTCCAAGTTACTTCNAATGATAGAAAAATTATCACTTTAATGGACAATTTTCATGAAAAATGAAGTCAAACGGACACCAAACTTTCAACATTTTTCAGGTGGAAAATTATATCAATCAAACACAATTAATTATAATTCTCAATAAAACAAATTTTAGACAATTCAATTCCCTGTAATTCATTTTCTTTTCACAAAAATTCCACATTTGCAATCAAACGGACCCTAATAGTATTACACAAAAGGAAACATGTTATTTATATATCTATCACTTTATATTAACAAAGAAAAATATTTTTTTTTGTCAAAAAAGCAAAGAAAGGTAATTCTTTCTATATAGACTTTAAAAATATTTTTTATAAAAATTTGCATTGTGATCATATATAGACTTTTCTAGGTCCCTTGAATTCAAATAGCTTGACTTTTCTTAGTCAATTCAAATAAATTCATTATTTCGATCAATAATACAATAAATTTGACATGGCCCTTTTGAGCCCCCAATAGTTTACCAAAGAAATTGTTAGAGAATTTTTAATTTTTGTTCCCTGCTTAATGCATGAACGTAAGCAAGTTGGCAAATAGATATATAAGAAATTAATGAAACGAGATTTCGATGTTGACCAGATTTTATTCCTCATAATTTACATTCTGTTCCAAGTGATTTTTTTATTGAAAATGGCCGAC